TGTGGGACTCGATCCCGGGACTCGATCCCGGGACTCCAGGATCATGACCTGAGCCGAAGGCAGTCGCTTAACCAACTGAGCCACCCAGGCGCCCCGGTTGCTCAGACAATCTTAAAATAACCAAAATACTTCTAGAATGAAGCTAGATTCCACAGCATCCATCAGGAATCACAACTGTAGGAAATGATGAATGACAATGTTCAAACATGCAAGCCTTTCAGATGCATCAGAATCACAAGCACGTGGCAAGGATCATGTGCCCAATTAAATGAATATTCTTGATACGTATTCACCAGCTCATAAACAGATGTTGACCCAGAGCAGACTGTCCTGATGACTCTGCTAGGAAGAAAGGCGTGACATCACTGGAGAACCTCAGGCATATGCTCAAGGTGACATAGGCGCACACACAGCCTAGGCTGTGATGGCTGAACTCTATGCTGACTGCCAAAGAAACCTGTCTTATGACCAACTCTCAGGGGGAATTCTCCCAGCCTGAGAATCACCTCTAACTCCTCTGCAGTTAAGGTTAAGGGGTCTCTTTGTGATCAGTGCGATGTTACGCTCCTCAAATGCATATTTGTGATACCTTTTCTTATATGTTTAGTCAAACACTTATTCATGAAAAATGGAAGGGAAATAGAATTTGTTTAAATTCAATTTCTAGGTGCAAGGCAACCTATATGGCTGTCTCCAATACTGAACCCCGCTTGTCATCAGTACCTCTCCCCACACAGTCCCCTCAAACTAGTCACACCCTCTGTGTTGCGCCCCCAACCTGTTACCAGCCCCAAACAATACTCCCCAAACTGTCAATGCCCTAAACAGATTCCCCCCGCCATTACCAACCACCAGAGACCCCTCTTCTGTCATTCATACCTCCAAAATTCCCCTCGTCACCGAGACCCCACTCCTGTTACCAGCTCCCGACAGCATCCCCGTCCCAGTCACCAAAACCCCTCAAAGACAGCCCTGTAGTGAACGTCATCATCCCCACTTCCCCTCCTTAGCCCCTCGCGGCGCCGTCTCCTGCCCCGCCCCCTGGCGCCGCGCCCCCGGCGAGCGGCGCCGGAAGCCCCGCCCCCGGCCGGTTGCTAGGCTCCGGCAGCCGGAAGTCCCGCCTGCCGTGTGGTCGCCGCCGCCGCCGCTGCTGCCGTCGTTGTTGTTGTGGTTGGTTCGCTGAGCTCCGCGGCTCCGAGAGCCGGCTGCATCCCTTCCCCGCCGCCGCCATGAAGTGGATGTTCAAGGAGGACCACTCGTTGGGTAAGGGCTCCGTCAGGGGCCCGGTGGTGGGGGTCGGGGCGGCGGGTGGGCCCCCTCCCCCACCCGGGCCGCCCTGGGCTGTGCCGGGCGGGGCGGATGCCGCGCTCAGGCCTTGGGTCGCTGAGGCCCCGGAGCCCCGGGCGGCTGCCCACGGACCCTGTGCCGCCCTTCGCCCTTCTGCCGGAAGGCAGGGGCCGAGGGCCGAGGCCGCTGAGACGCCGGAACAAGGGCCCGGGGCGTGCGCAGGTCGCCGGGGGAGGTGGGCTGGGGTCCCCGGAACCGGGGGCCGGGCAGGCACGACCGTCAGCCGGGTCTGTGTCTCCCACAGAACACAGATGCGTGGAATCCGCGAAGATCCGAGCGAAATATCCCGACCGGGTTCCGGTGAGTGCACTCCCCGCCCCCTCACCTCGCTGTCACCCCGTCGTCTAGGACTTGTGATAGGGCCCCGGGCCATTCAACAGTTGACAAGTTGAGGTTACAGTAGCAAACAGGCCAGACTGGGTTAGGGGCCTTCCGGGGCCGTGGCGTGAGGGGCTTGAGCCGGTGCTGTTCAGGGTGCCTCAGTGCTGAATCTCCGGATCTAGGCCAGCGAGCTGTCTGCAGCCTCTGGGCTCCCTCGCCAATTATGTAAGGAAAGATGTTCTAGGACAGGGCAACAGGTCACTGCCACTTTTGGGAACAACGGTGGAGGGAGACTGTCACTTTGGTCTTAGAAGTGGTACTTTAGTCTCAGGACACTCATCTTTAACTTTGAGTCTCTATCTTTACTTGACTTCTAGCTCCCTTTCCTCACCCTGACCCTGTCATTCTTTCATGACCAACAAAATCTGAGAAGCCTCTGAGAACCCCTTCTCTCGTGGTTTCTCCTTAGTCAGTAATAAATATGATCTTATTATTTCTTCCACGGTAGGGGATAAAGTTTCTGTAATCCTTACTGATTTTTAAAGGGCATCCATGCCTGTTATTGTAGCTCTTTGAACAATTCCTTTGAGGAGGGGTCAGAGGGACACATTTGAAACCTAGTTCAGGGAGAAGCAACAGGCCAAATGAGGAGCTTGGTTCTTGGCTGGATGGGATTGCCACTCATTCCTATTAGTCCATCATTTCCTGTTTCTTGTGTTCCTTGGGATCTCACTTCCCCTGTAGTGTGAAGGCAGATCCATTCTGGGGTCCTGGAGTAATTGGCTGTAGATGAAACCCTCACCAGATATTCTCAGGCCTGCCCAGACAAAATGTTGAAAAGCTTTGTAGGAGGAGCTGTGTTTCTCTTACGCTTGCTGAGATCCAGGATGATAAACGTAACTGACCACAGAAAAGTACTTTCTGTTTCTGTATCATACATTTATGTCAGTTCTTAACCTCCAGAGTTAAGAGTTTGTGGTTTATTAAATCAGGGGCATATTTTCCAGTGTTGTGCAGTTTCCCACCCACCTCCTTGCCCACATACTATTCATCAGCTCCCTGACAGTGCAAGGCTAGAACAATGCAAGACCAGAGCCTCATGTTAGAAATCCAGTCTTGATCTCTCTTTGCTTTCCTAGGTGATTGTGGAAAAAGTCTCAGGCTCTCAGATTGTTGACATTGACAAACGGAAGTATCTGGTTCCATCTGACATCACTGTGGCTCAGTTCATGTGGATCATCAGGAAAAGGATCCAGCTTCCTTCTGAAAAGGCAATCTTCCTGTTTGTGGATAAGACAGTCCCACAGTCCAGGTGAGAGGTGTTTACTGGCATTGGCCATCTGCTCGGCTGTTTACAGAACTCTAAATTTTGGAGGTTAGAAAACTCTTAGAGGTCCTGACTGGAAATCTGGATTTTGTGCTCCCTGACATGAGGAGCTCAAGGAAAATAAGAAAGGGCTGTAGTACATGGGAATGTACTTTGGATCAAGAAGATAGAACAAGGTTGGACTTAAGAAAAAAAAAAAAGAAATCTAGCCTCAGACCCTCATGAATCCTTTAAAACAGCTGAGGATTTACTTTGGCTTAAGCCATCAGTAGAACTGAAGCCTAAAATGAGGTTTTCTTCAAATGACCCATGAAATAAGTCCTGTCATTCTCTACTGGGAGCTTGTGGGCCCTGCTGAGGCTCAGGTTCAATTAATCACCCTGCTGCTTGCTCTCCAAACTTAGTTCTGTGCCACTGTGCAAGTCTGTAGCTGCCTGATCCTCAGGTATGCCGAAATGGCTGCCGTCCAACAAAAGGCTCTGAGGTCCCTTCACAGACTTACTCCTCCCTGGTACCACCTGCTCCGACTGTCAGAGTAATTGCCCCCTTGCTCTAGCTGTTGTGCTGCCTGGAAGCATTCTTTGGGATAACTTGGGGCCTGAATCTCAAGGCAGGGGCATTACAATTCCCTTCTTCTGTGTATTTGATAGCCCAGCTTTAGTCCCCTGTGGAAAAAAGATGAACTGGCTCCTTCTAAATTCCTGGTCAGTCCTTTGCCATTACTGGTTGAGTACTAGCCGCTGAGCCAGATGCTAGTCTCTCTCTCCCGGAGTGTGAGTTCCTGGCTACCTTTGATCTTGGAGACTCAAACTAAGTCTCATTTGTTACCCCCCAAAAGTAGTACTTCTAAAACCTAAGGCTTTCAGAAATCCTGGGAACTAGCCCAGTGTGGCCAAAATACGTTCTCTTTGAAAATCCTTGAAAGCTCCAGAAAAGGTGTAAGCCAAATTCCAGTCCTTTTCCTTTGAAAGGTAGAGAGCTCTGGCTATTTTTTCTGCTTTCCCAATCTCCATCACCTCCGTTACCTGTGTTTGGCAGAGAAGCAGGTTAGGGGAGAAATGAAAGGTTCTGCCTGAGGAGATAGGCCTGGCCCTGGCTGCTGGGTGCCCTTGGTCTCCTTCAGCTATAGTTCGAGAAGCTGGGGTGTTGGCAGAGGCAGTCTTGCTGCCTATTGGGGCTCTTCCAGCTTTCCTTCCCAGGCCTCTAGGCATCATGGTGCTGGGTGCACTTTTCATTGCGGTAGGAAGCCCTGGGCGTCTGTGGTCACACTCAGCTTCTCTTAAGGTGGTGGGGAGGTAAATCTTCACTCATTCCACCTGCAGCTTCTGCAGAGTCTCGATGACCCCGTCTTTCCTCCTTCCTGGAGGTGGCTTCTTAGTGGCAGAAGTAGGGGACTAGGACCTGTGACATTGAATTTATTATCAGTTCTGAGCCTCTGATATTTCTTAAAGGAAATGAGCAGGCTTCTGGAGACATTGTTACTCTGGTGGCTCCATGTTAATCTAGCAATTAAAATGGCTGTAGATTAGCAACTGCCCCCTCCCTCCATTATCCCTGAGATATAAATAGAATTGGAAATGAAAAGTGATTCTCAGGGCAGCAGAGGCTGCTTCCTTTTCTCCCCCACTCCCATTTGCCTTTCCAACCTGGTAAGAATCTGCCCTAAAGCAGATGACACCAGTGACCCAAGTCAGGATTTTCGAGAATCACTAACCAGGCTTCCTCTGCCCAGGCCTTTGGCCCCAGTTAATGGCTTTCTGTCCTACACTTAATGCAGCAGTTTGGTTTTATTAAGAAAAATTGTTTCTGGGCGCCTGGGTGGCTCAGTTGGTTAAGCGACTGCCTTCGGCTCAGGTCACGATCCTGGAGTCCCGGGATCGAGTCCCACGTCGGGCTCCCTGCTCGGCGGGGAGTCTGCTTCTCCCTCTGACCCTCCCCCCTCTCAGTTGCTCTCATTCTCTCTCTCTCAAATAAATAAATAAATAATCTTTAGGAAAAATTGTTTCTAAAACAAAAGTTGTGTGTGACATCATTGGGCTTTATGCAAATGATGATCACCTGATGGCAGCACACACAGAATTGCCTCAGGGTCTCCCGTGAAAGCTGGTGTGTGACTCAGCCCTGCCATCTCCTCCCCAAGGCACTTCAGCTGCAGCCTCTTCCTCAGCTCCTGCCAGCCCCCTTAGGGAAGTGTGGGGCCTCCCTTAACCTTCCACCAGTGCTTGCAGCCTTCAGAGAGTCGCTGGGGGGATTGGAGTTGGGAAAGGGTGAACCCAGGCCTGCAGGAGCCCTCGCCCATCCCATAACAGAGCTGCGAGAGGGTCACGTGCGAGGTGGGAGGCTGAGCAGAAGTGACTTCAGTTATTCTTGCCTTTGGGAGAGTGTTCTGGAACACAAACGATCATCTTGTAAAAATGTGATTGTTTAGAGTAGTGAGTATTAAATACTGATTCTAGAAATAGAGACCAAGGCAAGTCCCTGAGAGTTTTACTTCCTAAGTTCTTTGAGTTCTATTTTTTTTTCAAAGCAGGGCAGAGGGGGTAGGATCTCAACTTCCTTTTCCCATTTAGCGTTGGAAAGTTGAATTCTCTGCCTAGGTTCCTGCATCCAGAATCAGGCCAAAAACAAAAGAATTGTGCCTTGGTGCAGACAGAGCTCAAGAAAGATCAGTGTACAAGCTTCCCAGTCCTGGCATTAGAGGGGAGCCCAGACCTGGCAGTGGTATCTTATCTTTTAGTCTTTGTTTAGAACACAGACAAGTCTTGTTAATCCCCATTTAAAATAGAAACAGTAGTATATTAATAAATAAAATATCTCTAAGATGTGATAATTTGGGAATGTTACATTTGGAAACCAGTGTTAAGATTGTGTGCTTAGTTGCTTCTTTGATTTTAAAGAGATACTAAGTAAAAGGAAGTTGTGAGATCTTACAGTCCATCCTTTATTTAGAAATGTGCTTAAATTAAGCACTTTTTTTTTTTTAAAGATTTTATTTATTTATTTGACACAGAGAGAGACAGTGAGGGAGGGAACACAAGCAGGGGGAGTGAGAGAGGGAGAAGCAGGCTTCCCGCCGAGCAGGGAGCCCGATGTGGGGCTCGATCCCAGGACTCTGGGATCATGACCTGAGCCGAA